TAAGTAAAAACAAAATAGCACCTTCTCCATCAATGTTGCCGCATACTTTAATGTGTGGCTAGGGACCACCCGATCATCATGGTCGGCTGTCATCATAAGGGTGGACGGCCACTGCCCATTTGGAGGAAAACGGATATTGTGAAGAGGAGAATACCTAAATACTCAACGCTTGAGCACCAATTAACCTGTTAGTTCTAGCTAACTGACTTGTAGATAAATTCAAAATCTTTTTCTTCATCAGGATTACCATATTCTGGCACCCAAGCACCTCCAATAGTAAATTTGTGGAATCGTAGCATATCCATAACACTGAAATTAAATATGTTACTGTTCATGAAACAGTACGCTACTACAATACTTTGCTAAATCGTTCGATATAGTTGTAAAACCAACTAACCCTACACGATTCAGCACCGCTCCGTACAGATCAGGGCGCTGTTGTGAGCATGCCGCCACCAATAAACCACCATTCGAACCACCATGAATAGCCAATCTGAACATTTAACTCGGCTATAGTCGCGTCAAAGTTTCTTCAAAATATTTTCAAAGTTTACTTTCTGCTACAGGTGTAGTTATTGTTGATTAAATACTCAGCAGCGGAGATAAAGTCGTCGAAAACGTTCTGTTTCTTCTCCCTCATCCCGTCCATATGCCAATTTTCTCCGTACTCACTATGAAACATAGACTTCAAAATTTATAATCTAGCTAAGATTACGCGACCTGACCTTCCACCACGGAGATTAGCACAAGCAATGATTCCTTTGAAGTGCTTTACGACGAGCAGACGACTGATAGAGAAATACGGCACATCAGCAATGTTGAACCCTAAACGTTAAGTTTGCTTGAGATAAGTATAGAAGTGGCCTTGCATTCGCGAACTCCTGATTGAAATCATGGCTGTAGGTTATAAGCATGAAATAGTGAGGCATGACTACAAATGGGTAAACTTAGAACAGAATATTATAAAATCAAATGCTCTACTCAGAAGAAGTAGGCGTTTCATTTTATGAATAAGTGATGCAGTCTGGAACTGGCTTCAGTAATGCAAAGCTTGGCAAAATAAATCCGCAACTTTCAACAGCCTTCCAGTCAGAATCCATTATGGAAAGCCTAAGCCTATCCATAGTGGACCCGACTGCACACCGCACAATAATAAGTAATGTTAAGCGTTCCCACCCCAATTCGACATCTCTCACAGCTTCTGAGTACCGCGTTGTTTCACTCACATATAAATTTTACTTAAAAAG